TAGGTAATCGGACCCCCGCGTATTAGTGCCTATCGAGAAGCTGGTTGGCTGGTTGGCTGGTTGGTTGTCATTGAACCGCTCCCATTGTCATGTATGAGGGAACAGGTGCGGGATAACTACAGCGAGAGGCTGTGCTTGAGAGAGTTCGAGATTGGGGAGGATAGCGGTGAGGACAATTGAGCCGAGGAATGCGCACATCAGAACTGGAACTTTTGCAGATACGTCGTTTTGGTGTTTCTTCTGGTGATACCTGAAGTCTGGTGATGATAAGACAAAACGTTCGAGTCACTTGCTACACGGACGGCCATTGTGTGCGCTGATGGACGATGGCTACCAAGGTACTACCTAAGGAACTCACCTCAGTCATGGCTGAGGTGTATTTATCGCTGGAATTGAGAATATGGATCCTCAACTGACAATCTGACAGGGACAAAGCCGTTGACTCGTGGATGGCAATGACGTAGAGACTGAGGGCCACGTGAAGCACTCTGGGCCGTTAGCGCATGTCGTCAGCGGACCTGAGGCTCCTGAAAGGCCGTGCGTTCTGGTTTCAGCGGGGTTGGCTACATAGCGGATTTCCAGTGGACTGGGCCTTGTAGAGGCGCCTGAACCGACAAGGGGAATGGCCTCTGGTGTTGATATCACGGATCTAAGGACAATGTCTACAGATCTCCTAAAGATCTCTAAAGAGAAAACTTTGAAATGGCGTTTAGTTACTCCTCTACATTATGCCTTCTCACGTTGAGCAGCTATAGGTAAATCGTGTGGAGTGCGATCACAAGATCTCCATCAACGCTTGCTTCCTAATATACTTGACTCATTAGATAACCTACCTTGGAATTACTATTGTCGTTGTTTGTTGACTTCGCTACCACTGTCAACCATTCATCGCCGGATGCCGCCGCTCAACGTCGGGTTTACTTATTCTGTGTCTCTTCCTTCAGCCCTCAGCTCTAGGCTCATGATCGATCATTCTACGCCAACTCTACCTCTCAAAAATTGTCTTCCATCTGCATTATCGATAATCGATGCCCTAACTTCTGCGCCCGAGATTCCTCCATTATCTACACGCCCCTAGGCATGAAATTCAAATAAGCATCCCTCACAATAAGAAAGAGTTAAGCTACCTTACCTTACCTTACTATACCGACACCACCACCAAGAACCCACGACCCTCTTTTCTTTTGCGCCTATCTTTTTTTACCCTTTCCTCTCTTTGAACCGCTTCAGCTTCTCGTCTTCTTTCATTATTCTCTCTTTTTTGCTTCTTCCCTTCTTTTTCGTGCGCCTCGGGTTTCTTTCTCCCCCCTTTCATTCCCTTCGTCGTCTTCTAAGAGGGCCTCTTGGCAAACGACGCGCGACCATCACCAATAATCATGTCGTCGCTCGAAGCCAAGATCGTCGTCCTCGGCGCCCAGGGCGTTGGGAAGACGTCTCTGGTTATGAGATACTGCAAGGGCGCTTTCAACCCGGCTCAGATCACTTCTACCGTCGGTGCCAGCTTTCTCACAAAGCGTGTCGTTGACTCTGACTCCGATACCGTTGTGCGCCTTCAGATATGGGATACAGGTTGGTCTTGATAAGGAGCCAAACAAGTTTATATTCGCTCATGTACTAACGCCAACTCGCAGCTGGCCAAGAACGCTTTCGTTCCATCTCACGCCTGTACTACCGTGGTGCAAACGCCTGCATTCTCTGCTACAGCATCACAGACGCACAGTCATTCGCCGACATGGGTGTATGGCTCATGGAACTTCGACGAAACCTCCCTCACGATGTCGTTCTTCACGTAGTCGGTACAAAAGCCGATATTGTCGCCCGCGATCCCTCAGCCCGCCAGGTCCCATTCGAACGTTGTATCGCATACGTCGCTGAGAACCTTGCCCCAGGCATGGGCAGCACGCCGCCTCCAACCGCAACCCCTTACCACATACCGACGCCCATGTCAGGTGGCCAGGCCATGTCCCCTCCATCTATGGAGCCTCGGAGCCCCAGCTCGAAGCGAAGCTCTGGTTTCTGGGCACAGGAAGTTGGCTGGGATGCTTGTCATGAAATCAGCGCCGAAACAGGAGAGGGTGTCGAGGAAGTCTTTCGTGTTGTCACACGCAAACTTGTTGAGCAGAACCGCAAGATGCAGCAGGCCCTTCTAATGGCCACAGCCATCCCTGGTACCCCAGGTTACGAAGCCGGCATGGACGGAGGCTATTTTGCAGGTGCAGACGCACGAGGGAGTTTCCGAGTAGGCCGCGATCGTCGAAGTTGGCTCTTCTCGCCAGGTTTCTCGCCTGCCGTTACGGTCGAGCAGGCGGGAACCCAGGAGCAGACACAAGCAGACGGCTGGGATCGAAAAGAGCGCAAGAAGTGCTGTTAATTTTCTTGATTGCCGATACGAAACTAGACGAACGAAGACGATATGATGTGATGGAAAGAGATGTAGACGTTGTATGGACATAGGAAATGAGGTCATGTCTACAACGAATTCCCCACGGCAACGATGGAGGAGGAGCTTTAGGATGGTTTCGACGACTGCGCGCATATGCTTGATACCCGGTCTTTTTTCATGTTTTTTTTTCCTCTGTTTTATAGGTCATGTTTTGTGGTGCGGATTGGTTCACAGTCGGGGTGTTTTTCGTCTTTGATACTGGCAGCCTGGTCCCGGCTCATTTACTATTTCTGTATGCAAATGCATAATTTCTTTCCTCGTTTCTCTTTTCTGTTCTTCTCTTCTCTTCCCTTGTATTCATTCAGTTCATGCATGGTGCATCAGGCGGGTCTTCTTTTTGGACGAGAGGGTCATGAGAGGTAGACTTTTCCATTTCTGACTTAGAACATACTATGCATAACTATTTTGCTTAAACCTGTTAACATCGCTGTATCCCCTGTTTATGGCCAAGACACCTTAACTCTCTACTGTGTTCACGGACTGATATGATTTCCACGTGCTGTTGGCCTGTAGTGAGTGAGAGTGAGAGTGGCTCAGCCGGCAGCATCCGGGATACCCCACCCCCACCTGTTCCGGTCGGAGGTCGGATGTGTCCCCCGCGTCCTCCCGTTATCCGCCATCCCGCACCCGGGACTATGGAATTCTGAAAACTGCCACCAACACCAGTCGACTTTCACTGCCTACCTTCTTGACACCCTCTTAAGCCGCTGATCCTCCACTCTCCCCCCCCCTCTCTGTCCTCCCCATACCACTACTTGCTGGCCTCAACCTCGGAACAATGGCCCACCCTCAAGGAAACCTCGCAAACCTTCTCCCTCCTTCGTGGAAAACCTCGGTAACCGCTTGGCTAGCTGAGGATACGCCTTCATTCGACTTCGCCGGCTTCGTTGTCGGTGACGGTCCCCGCGTCGCTACCCTCTGGGGTAAATCCAGCGGCATCATCGCCGGCCGACCCTTCTTCGACGAGGTCTTTACGCAGTGCGGCTGCACCGTCGAGTGGCATGCTGAGGAGGGAACAGCTGTTGACCTGAGCAACGGCAAGCATCGAGTCGCAACGGTCAAGGGTCCTGTTCGTGGAATTCTCCTTGGCGAACGCGTTGCTCTCAACACCCTCGCACGATGCTCTGGCATCGCTACCAAGAGCCAGAGACTTGTGTCGATTGCGCGTGAGGCGGGGTATACAGGTGTGATTGCAGGAACTCGAAAGACAACGCCGGGATTCCGCCTCGTTGAGAAGTACGGCATGCTCGTCGGTGGCGCGGATGCCCACAGAATGGATCTCAGCGCCATGATCATGCTCAAGGATAACCATGTCTGGAGTCGGGGCAGTATCACTGATGCTGTCAAGGCTGCCAAGTCGGTTGGTGGCTTCAGTATGAAGGTTGAGGTTGAGGTTCAGAGCGAGGCCGAGGCTGACGAAGCAATTGAGGCTGGCGCCGATGTAGTCATGTTGGATAACTTCACTGGTGATGGTGTCAAGGTTGCTTCAAGAAGTCTCAAGGAGCGATGGCAAGGGAAGAGGCACTTCCTGCTCGAGACATCCGGTGGGCTTCAGGAAGATAATTTTGAGGCTTACTTGTGTAATGGTGAGTACTCGGAAGGCTTTTTGATGAGCATGTTGGTGCTAACGCACTCCAGATGTCGATATTTTGTCAACAAGTTCTATTCATCAGGGTGTGTCGCACATCGATTTCTCACTCAAGATCGAGCACTAGGTCAAGATAATAAAAGTACATTGATATCCACAAACACGAAGGATTCGTTCTGTTGGTAACTCCAAGTCGAAGGTTGAGCATGCTGTGTCCACAGCATAACCGCGACGAGGACCAAGACCTCGTAGCTACCCCATACCTTGGGCTACTATGCCCTATTTACCTCTCTACAAATACTTCAAGTCTATTACATATGCTCGAAGTATATCGGGATCATAATAAACTCAGAAAGTAGATGATTAACGAAGCCCAACGGGGCATGCTCAAGTACGCATGGCTTCACCTTGAAAGTTGTCACGACATTATCACAATATGTCGATCGAAAGGGGACCTTGGCGAATCTTGGGTGCCATTTTGTCTATCGACGTGCAACTGTTTGTAGGAGGCATTCATCAACCCCCTTTTTGTAAAACACCAAAACGGCCGTGGACAAGAGTCAATTCACACATGACTCACTACCAGGCAATGAAAAGAAGAGACAACGCGGTTTGAAAGAACTTGCACAGGCACTCTTCGTTAATCCTCATTCCTTACGCGCCCTCCATCCCTATCTGATATCATTTTCATAGACGCCAGGCATGTAAAGTCAAGACCATGAGAAGAAAAAAGTTGGCCAGGTGGCCCCATGTTGAGCAAAGAAGATCGTAAAGTACGATGATGCGTAACGTACATTGAGAATCGAAATGAAGAGAAAAAGGAAACAGTTGCTGTAGACGTGGTCTAGGGGGCTACGTCTTCTGCCACCTCACTAGATACGAGTGCTCGCCAACCAAGACATGCTGGGATTCCTCACACCCGCGAACGATGTAGAAGCGTGCCATATCCGTTCATCAGATAGCCTGAGCTTAAACAGTAACGCGCTTCTCGCCCTTGGGCTTCAGAACGTTGTCACCGTAACGGCCGCCGAAGTTACCTGCAAAGTTAGCGATGCTTGCATCATCAGCACAGATATGGGACTTACCCTGAGGGTTGTAGTTGCAGACGGTGTACCAAGAGGGGAAGCTGAGAACAGTTCCGGCAGGGCATTTGACAGTGGCGCAGCCAACCTTGGTGGAGTCCTTCCAGACAACCTGAGTGAAGTGGCCGTAGAGGTCAATGTTCATATCAGCAGGAGGGTTCTCCTGGCCGTAGAAAGCCCAGTTGGCCATCTCGTTGTTGTACCACTGGTTGGTAATACCACCAGCGGCAGCCTTGTTCTTGAGGCCATCAATATCGCTTGTGGCACCCCATGAAGCGAGGTTCTGGCCGTAGCCGCCATTGCCTTGCTTCCTAAAGATACGTCAGTCATCAATTCTTAGTTCACACACGTTAACAACTTACATGTCGTGCTCGAAAACACAACCGTTGGCGGTGTTCTCGGCGTAGCCGGCGAGCTCATCATCCCACTCAAGGGCAGAGGCAGAGTGGTTAAGACGGTGGATGTTGTGGTAGGCGAGCATAACAGTGTTATAGGCACCATCCAGAGAGAGGTCATCACCGCCGCTAGCAGGGACCTCAACCTTAGGCTCGGCAACCTTGGTAGGCTTAGCGACAACCTTGGAGATGGTTGTCTTGGGCTTCTCGACGACGGGTGCGGGAGACTCATAGACGGTCTCCTTGGTAGACTCAGGCTGGGGCTCGACAGTAACGACCGTAACCTTGGGGGCCTCCTCGGTGGTTGAGGGCTTGCTGACAGGCTTCTTGACCTTCTTGGGCTTCGCAGCCTCCTTGGTGGTCGAAGGAGCTGTATACTTGGGAGCGGGAGCTTCCATAAACACAACGCCAGTGGGCTTTGTGGCCACAGGAGCAGTGGTCTCGGGCTCCTCGCCAGCAACAACAGTGACGGTAACAACCTCGTAGACCCACTCGGTCTTCATCTCTCGCTTCTCAATCTCTCTCTTCTCGAGAGCATTTCGAATAGGGCTGGCCGAAGCCAAGATGGCGCTAGCGCCGAGGAGGAACATAGACGCCTTCATGGTGATCGGTGAACAGTCACAAGACGGAATGGGGGTGAGCTGGAAATAGAGTCAGTTATATAAGCTTGGGAGATATTAGGTGTGGCTGTTTTCAGTTGAGCAAACGTTAGATCAATGCCGCTTGGCAATAGTTGTTTTCGTGTCTTCGATGAATGCGACGAGGCTAAGATGTAGTGAGGGTGGAATGGTGTTTCTTGTGGGGAATGTTTGGACGAGAACGTGTAAGACATTTGGTGTTGAGACAATTTCGTGTGAAATAAGATGAAGTAAACATCGATATATCGAGTTGAAGGGAATTTCCCCTGCTGAATCCTTAAGGGACTCATGGCCGCTATCGAAGGTGACAAAAGACATGGCTCTGCTTCGGCGATGTTCTGTCGAGGACAAGGCCGAGTCGGTGTTGTGAAAGGGAGGATATCGATAAAGACTCCCTCAAGGACCGGGGTTGGTGGAGAACAAGGCGAGACAAAGAGGGCGGACACAGATAATGGATGCAGGTACAGAAATGCAGGGTTCAGACAATAGTGGTTCAGACTACAGTATGCTTACCTTTTGTGGTGGGTAGTGTCTGTAGATGGGATTGACGTTGGATTTGATTCAGAACCAGTCTGGTGAGCGGTTGACAGCACTGCTGAAGTTGAGATTCCGTCTAGGAGTCTCGAAAAGAGGTTTGGTGTGGTTGAACAACGACTGAAGTTCAACAATTGAAGGAGTGACAGAAGGATGAACCGAAGGAAGGACGACTTGATCAACTTTGCTTTGCGATACCGAAAGGTGAGCTCAAGAAGATGAGGGAGGTCTTGGGGCTATATCAACGGTTCAACCGGAGGCTTGGCTTTAAAGTTTTGGTTTTGAAGGAGTGGACTGCAATGTCGTAGACACGCAAACAAAGGAGTGGCAGGCCCTGCTATCGTTCGACGAAGACTCTTGGAGGGGGGTGAGGGAGAGGGAAGAAGAGTCGAGATGGCTTCGGAGCGGACGACGACGTTAAAAAGGAACTGCTCGGCGGGTCGCAGACGGACAGCCACTGCAAACCCAGGGGCGATTGGCTAGATGGTGCGGTATTGATTGGATGCTTTGCAGGGGGTATCTGGGGATCTCGCGAGCCTGCAATCGAGTGTGAGCTGGGGTGTGGTGCAGGGGACGAGGACGGGGGTGTGTCGTTCGAGAATGAGCCTAGTTAACTTACTATCAGAGTAGAGAGCGGCAACAGCGAGGAGCTGTTAGTGCAGCGCAAGACGAGCGAATGACTGTGAAATGCGAATAAAGTGAGCGTGAATAGTGGATAGTTGAAAAGAAAGAAAGCGGAGAGTGAAGTTGATTTTGAGGGAAAGTGAAGGGAGGTCCCAAGAAGAGATGAGGCTGCCAATGTTTTGGCTACAATGCGGTGCGTTGCCAAGGGCCGTCGCAGTTGGCAAGCACTGGCAGAGTGACTAACAGGTAGTTGTCACTGACAGTGACACCCGACTGCTGCCCTGAGGTAGCCTTCCTCCTGCCTACAGGTAGGTATGTCTCTTGGGTTGTTGTTGTTGTCCTGGGCAGGGCAGTTGCTACAAAGACCCCTGGAACGCGGGCTGGAATACGCTAGTGCCTCAAGCCAGTGGAGGGGTGCGTTAGACTGGGCGCTAGAAAAATGGCGGGAATGGATGCTGCAAGGCACCCAGGAACGAATCATGCATCAGCCCGTGCCTTGAATTGGACAGGATGGGAGGCATTGATGAGCATGGCTTTCACAGCTAGCGCTGTAATATTGAAATCCAGCCCGAGTTACATACATGTCTAATGGCATTGATTGACTGTCTATCATCTGAAGGGTTCGTATAATCCTCGCTCTCGCAGCTATTGACTGAATAACTCGACGCTCACGCTACCTATTATTCACAGCGTAAAGCAATCGCCTCGAGGACGATATCTTCGGCGTACGGCAGACGCACGGGCCTTGAGCCACGATGATGAAACTCGTGGCTTAGGTAGATAGGTACCTACTCGATCCCCTTTTTCCTGTGTGCGCAGCATTGACGCCTCTGATGAAAGACGGGACGGTACCTGCATCTAGGTGCTAGGTTCCAATTTCTTACTGTGACACCACGCATCAGTCCAACTGTCCAACCCGACCGACGACTGCCGCTGATCGACTACAACCACAAACACCTACATCATAATCGCAACCCAGTGACTTGGTAGAAACATATGGGTTTCAATGCGACGATCACACATATCTACGTGGTATGTACGTACAGAGATTTGGCTTCTACAGCATAGCATCGCAGGATTGCGTTGCTGCAGCATTGCATTGCAGCGCCAGCATTGACTGCATAGGCGGGCAGCTAATCAAAGCAACACACGATCCAGGATTGGGACCCTTGCTATGCTCAAACACAGTGGAAAAGAGTAATCAACTGGTTCAGATCCTAACAGACCTGGCCCTGGCCCAAGGTAATTACCAGTCATCTCAGCTCTGACTGTGTTTTCGGCTGTTGGTCGTTTGATGCTGGGTTTGACAGTGGTGAGGTAGGCTGTTGGTGTTGGTGTTGCTCATTGACGTAGCATCCGTCCCCTCATCTCATGTCCGGTTCTTTTCCTTTCGAGTGCCGGGCTATCCCATCCCCCGGTCTCATCATACCCTACCTAAACGAGACGATTGACTTTGCTCCTGTGTTAAAACCTTGTCGGACTCAACAGTCCAGACTCGATTGAAGCTCGACTCTTGCTCATCATTTCCTGTCGAAATGATCTCCACTCGTCCCCCACTGGTGATCATGCTGGAGGAGAAGGATGCTTAGAAAATGCTTCGCAAAGCTTGGTCTGCTTGCGTGGACATGAAAGCCACCTCGGAAGCCAAAACCCAAGTCTCAAGCCCCCCCGGGTTTGGTCAATTTCAGTTGTGAGCATTTTACCACATGCGTGTTGGCCCGTAACCTTATGGGGATGGGTCTAATAAGTCTTCAGTCAATACGGATACACTTTGCACTTACACCGTAGATTTTGAGGGTCCATTGACTTCCGGATGCAGCGTCATACTAGAACCTGACGGGAAGGAATACTACCTACTTACCATCGATAGAGATCAAGATCGTGTTAACGGTGAGGGTTTGTATTATGCCGGGTCCTACACATACGCACGCACGGGTTTGTATGTGACCAATCGACAGTATGTCAGCATTAACAAATGCGAAACGCATTCCTACCTGGCCTTAGCCATCATCTCTCTTCGCATCCATTGCATTGATTCTGATTCTGTAAGAGGCAAGCTGAGTTGAGCAATTGGTTGACGAGAAGTACGTACCTCTCCACCCCTTTTTCACTGCCCCTTGCAGATGTCGATGTGGCGCGTGCTCTGACGATCCATCTCCGATGGACATGGCCAATCAACGAGGTAATTGTCTGCTTCATCTCCATCAAACAAGCTATTCAAGGGTGGTGTAGCGGGCAGTTGCGGGGCTTCCCTGCAGCTGCATGTCCGAAAACCCGCTAATAAACCCGGCTCTCTTCTTCCCCATGCGCTTCTAGCATATCTGAAACTGAGCTAATTAGAGGTGACCTTTCTGCTCCGTTCTTCATCTCCCATCCAAGGCCTAACTTAACGTTTCCTTTCTGACAGTATCAAATACTGAGAACATTTCATTGCCTGACATTAAACTGGCAAATGCCGAGCTACCCTTGCAAGCCATTTGAAGAGTCGAATAAATAGTATGCTCGATTTCGCGAGCTGTCATTCTTCTGTGGCTTCGCTGTACCCCGTAGAGCCAGCCCCGTTCGTGGCCGCGGACAGTTCGGCTCGTCGTTGGTTTCTCTGCATGTCACTCTGGACAGTTCCACAGAAGAAGGAGATTGTTGTGTCACAGATTGATTGCCTCTGCCTCATGGTTCAGAGCTAGAGATACTCATCTGATGGCCTTGGGGAGCAAGAAACTTCCGACGACATGAAAAGGTGTCAAGAATTATTAATCTAGAGACCTACCAAGTCTATCCTAAAATGGTCGAGATTTTCTATCGCTATTGTTCTTGATTTCTAAGTCTTCTTGCGGGGTAACGATCAATATCCAGAACCGAGCACTAAGACAAAGACAGCTCGAAGTTGGTAGCTACCTCAGTGACATATCGTCAATGGCTTACTTTCAAAACGTTGACACAATAAACTGATCGTCGTTGATCATCAGAGTCCGGCTTTGCTAATACACATGATCCCTTAATCAGTCGTACTGCAGTATACTACTGTACTCCATGAAATGTCAATCTGCCTACCTCTTTCTACCTAAGTTGTACTTCTCACACCCCTCTCAGCACGTATATACTCCTCCCTTAGACACATTGAGCTCAGCCATCAACGCATTTGTCTTAAACCCATTGAGTCGATCACAGCGACTCAAGACCGACTTCCGAGCTTGGATGGCATGACACGCAATCCACAACTTTTCCATGTTCTAACAGGAAAGGGACCAGTGATTCCCATTGGAGAAAACATTGGACACGGTGGCGCTGAACTTCATTCCTTGAGTGCACCTCGAACAACTTTATTCTCGCTTCTAAACCAAACCCATAATATTTAGTTCACTCGCGGCTCTGCTAGAGTTCGAGTATTACGTGGCCGACCTCTTAGAGCTGTATTCAGTTGGGAAGTCCAGCCTTGTCACCGGCAGCACCGAATTCGTCTATCGAGTTTCAGGCTCATAGGCAATGATGATCGGTAGTTCCGGGCCTAGAAACAGCAAACAGAGGCCGAAGTTCTACGGTCCAACATTGCTGAACTGAAGATATACGTAAACATCGATAGATAGTCGCAGCCTTCAAACCTTGATCTGGACAAGCAATTTAGTTGGAACTTTCAAGCCGCTTTGCTGATCGATCTTGGTCCACATGAAAGCACAGATGATTCTAGACTGACTTCTTGTTACATCCAGTACCCGATATCCTGGGTCTATTCTGGGATCTAATCCTCAATTCTCCACATGTATCCTTCATTCACTGTCGCACGTGATATCTGCGATGGCAAGTTATCTTACCACCTCTTTCACCGCTTCACGCAAAGGGACGAGATGTTCCTTTTCGCAAGCAAGGCCCTTCCAGTGTGGCCCTCTTGATGCTGCGTCTTGGGTCGACTTACACTCACTGTCTCGTATATATTCAATGCCGCTGCTATTACCGACGCTGTCATAGCGACCGAAGTGGCCTTCTGATTCTCCAACACAGGGAACGTGGTAACATGGGTTGAGGCTTCCGCTCTTGTTTGTTTCATGGCGACCACAGTGCATATGTGCGCTCATAGTTGACGTGAAGTCCTCATTTAGCTAAAGCTTTCTATGAATAGTACAAACTTCACATACTACCTTATGTATTAACTTCAACATGTCTTATTGAGTCGACACACCTACCCTACAGACCACGCTCTGGTTTATTTTAAATCACTGACACGATAATGACTTGCCTTGAACTGGTTTGCTTTGACTTGGGGTTTCTAGCAGGATTGGAATCTTAAAAAGACAGGCTCATACACTTAACTGCATCAGTTGATTCGGCTTCATAAATTTTGCTTGTCTCGGCGAGTGACAGACTGTCGATAGTGTCGTCAACAAGTCTTGACGCTGATCGAGCTCTAATAAACCAAAAGTTCCTTGTGACACTTTGTTCATATTATCTTGACCTCGCCGTCTTTCTTTCAGTCAGAGACTGGGAAGACTGAATAACACTAACCTTGGCATCATCACTAAGCTTGTGATGTTTGCTGTTCAAAAGACTGGTCGACCAGACCAACACACAAGTACATCACCAAACACAAAACCCCTAGAAATTGTTGCCACACAAAGAAAAGAAACAGTGATCCTCGGACACTGTGATACTACGTACGTCGCTTGAAGACAGGGCCGATCGATTCGGCGACATGCAACCACGACATGGTACAACCGTGCCGTCACTTCTGGAAGCAAACTCATACATTCTCGTGAACCCCTCTAAAACGGCGCCGAGAAAAGAGACAAGACAAGGTTCTCATAATTGTTTCTTTGTTGGCGGCCTTTATGAAGGCCAGAGGGGGTGTAGATGATGTCAGCCAACCAACAACGTGACCCATTCTGAACCTCAAACATGGGCGCTTGAAAGGCCCGTTTCTTGTTTCACGAAGCGCACAAGCGCCGAAAATCGAGAAACAAGATGCCCAAAGTGTGATGATGATGCAACGGCCAGTTCTGGCTGCTGTGATGCTATAATGCACTTGTGCCAGATATTCCTACTCTGCAGGGAGTAGTAAGCTTAAAGTATGAAGCCCCTTGAGTTTGGCCGTGTCAAGCTCAATTCGCAGTACCACGAGTCTTACCACTGCGTTAAACTGCACCTCGCTTAACATACGAGCTTCTACTCAGTCAGAAAAGCAGGTTACCGTTGTATGTCCCCTCATGGCGTGTATATGACGGTTCCAGCTTAGGTTTCTGCCCATCACACCAAGCCAATCGTCCCCTCTGCTGGCCGACTTTTACTTGAAACGAAACGGCTAGTTGCGTGAAAACAGTTACGCTGCCTGAACGAGTCTAAATGAGGCCGAAACAAAAGCCCCGGCTAAAAGGCCATTGACACAGAAATGATCATGTGCATGGTCTGGGGCATATATGAGGTTGTGCGACTCTGAGGGCCAGTCACCGACAAGAAGGCCCTACTCTAGGTTCAAACTTGTGACCATTCTCATACAGGCGGCTCAAGGAGCATGCTTGTTGCATATCAAATGCCTTTGGTCACTACGAGTCCGACCTTCGGCATCTCGCCAAAATCCGTGCTGGTGACTGTAAATGGCATGGCGGTGACGTCGGCAGCTCCTTTAGATGCTGTCGGCCGGCCTCATGCATCGTGATGATATACCTCTGCCCATAAAATGTCCATCTCGTCATGTGGTCTTCACCAGATCACAAAAGAAGGACATGCCTCATTGTGGCTCCACCGCTTAGCCGAACTACAGAGTTGTTGGTGACTTTGTTTCAAATGTCTTGGAGTGCCGTGTATCATGCGTCCAAGGCTCGCTGCATGATGCTGCAGGTTCTGTTGCGTTTGGAGGTTGCAATGCTGTGACCAGTAGCTACTGTTGATGTGCTTGATCTATGTGGGGTTAAATGATGTGCTGAGAACCGGAGCTTTCATAGCGGGTTGAAAGGCGCCGTGACAAGACCATGTATTGATATCGAGATGCTGACTGATGTGTGAAATGTCACCGAAAGTCAATACTGGTATATTGCTTGGCTTGGTGAAAGGAGCAAACAAGACTATATCGAACTGGATATGGGACCTGCGGCTTAGTAGTCAATGATATATAATACTGCATGTGAGCAAACGGATTTTGATTTGATAGCTGGTAGTTCTCTCTTTGATTCATCAACAAATATACATGACCGAACCTCGATCTTAATAGATTCCAGCGCTCTATTGTTGCGCATCCTCCTGCCCCGGAACGAAGGGCTTGCCGTCTCCAGGCCCGATGCGCACATCAGCGAAGATCTGCTGTGGTCGAAGGTGAACAGGGGTCGAGTTCGTTGGCTGATCGGGGATCTTCTTCTCGAGTTTCTATATGTTGTATTAGAACCTTCACATAGCGTGATGGGCCATGGATGTCGTACCAGATTGTCGTAGACGCACTTGTTGAGCTTCCACTCAGCAGGACGGCACTGCCACAATTGGTGATTTCGGTTGTCGAGGCACTCCCAGTGCTTGCGGAACTCAGCCAGGCAGTGGGTGTTGATATCCTTGATACTGTTGATCATGTCAGTGGCTGACCCCAGCCTTGAAGCAAATTGTGCTTCAGGAATACCACCAGACAATACGGTCTGCTGAACCTTAGATAACATACACGCTGGAGGCACATCGGGTAACTCGTCGGCCCTCCTTCAAGCACTCAAGCTCTCCTCGGCCAGGGTTCTCGTTCTTGCATTGCATATAATCGTCATTGTAGTCGCGGCATCGAGCACCAATGAAGAAGGAGGCCGAGAGGAGAGGGGCAGAACTGGCACCGACCTCCTTGACGACGGGAATATCGGCGGGCAATGGAGTGGTGTCAATGAGCAGCTGCTGGGAGAATCTGATGGATTGATTAGTTAGCCAATTATCAGCTGTTATAGAACTCAATTGCATCCGCTGGGAGCTCCAGGACAAAGGCAGGAAAGTCAGCTGCCGAGTGAACATACTGGGGCCTTCGGGTAGACATGATGCCGGTATTCTGCGAAGCTCGTCGTCAAACGTTGCGGTGATTCCAGAATCCGGAAGTGGTTATGTGAGGTCGTTCGGCTAGGATTTGGTAGCGTAAGGTAGGAATTGGTTAGCTGTGATTGGTGGTTCGGTGAAGCGAGGCTGAGCGCAAGGCTGCAACGGGGCCCAAGGTGAGCGTAGCTCTGTTTTCGCGTCGCTCAGCTCCAATAATTTTAAGCCGCCAAATAAACACAGCAAACAATCAAAGAATCACATTCTCAGTCTTACAGCTCATATAAAACTTGACTACGACGACTACACAGTCGCAGAACAGAATTCAATCTCATATTGAGCTACTAGCCACCTCTTTCGCCCGGGTTCCGTCTCGGCAAGGAATCTCATCGTTCAAAGCTTAGCTTGCCGACTGACAGCTCCCGATTCAGACGTCGCAACACCATCACTCAACATGTCGCTCTTCGGACAGGCCAAGCCTTCGCTGTTTGGGCAGTCGCAGCCCGCTCAGACAACTGCGCCGAATCAGAGCACAGTATTCGGTCTAGGCCAACCTCAACAACAGCAACAGGGCAACACACTCGGCGCATCGATCCAGCAACCACAGCCGCAACAGATGCCAGCTCTATCTCAGTCGCAAGCTCAGCTGTCAAACTCGCTATGGCAGCCTGGAAAGGAAACACCGCGTATGTTGTTGTCAAGAAAGAGCTGTTCTCCTGCATCGCAAGACTGACCCCTGCGTAGATCAGAAGCCGATTCTGGAGCAAATGAAGCTTGTTACCGAGAAATGGGACCCTGCGAACCCCAACTGCGTCTTCAAATACTATTTCTACAACAAGGTCGATGAGAGCCACGTTCCTTACTACAAGCCTCAACCTCACGAAGACCCTCGGGAATGGGAGGAAGCCCTACAGAATAAGCCAGCCCCAGGGTTCATGCCCGTTCTTTGTTCTGGCTACGCTGGCGTTGCCGACCGCCTTAAAACACAACAGCGCGCCGTCGCCGACTTCAACACTCGTCTCCACCAGATCAACGGCAGCCTGGATGCCATTCTTCAGCGCCACGAGCTCGAGACTGAGGTTCGCGCGGTCGCCGCCCGTCGACGACAGACAACAATTAGTGAAAGATGCCTAGCACTTGCTGCGCGGATACAAGTGCTCCGCAACCGTGGCTACGCACTGAGTGGCGATGAGGATGATCTAAGCAGCCGACTGCAGACTCTGGAGCGAGAAGTTCAAGACCCTGCTGTTGGAGCTAGAGAGGAAGAACTCTGGAGCCGCCTTATTGTGTTGCGAGGCTATGCTGATCAGCTCAGCAAGGAGCTGGATAAGCCCACCGGTTCTGAGGGAGAGAGTATTGATCCAGAGCGAGAAGCCAAAGCAAAACGAGTAAGTAACAGATCGATCGCAGCACACACAAACCAGCTAATCCTTTTCTAGGTGCTTGAGGATTACGAGAAGCAGATCCAGCATATCAAGAAAGAGCTTGAGGCTCTATCGACAGATTATGCAGAGTGGGAGAAGACCAGGAACCCGCACTCGAAATAGATGGAACTTAATCAGGGCACACGGTTTAGCGACAAATGTGGTAAAGATGGAGCAACTGTCTTTTGTTAGGATGTATATTGGTGACATAGAGTTGGAGTCAGGACTGGGTATTCATCCTACGCGTCATAGGATACGAAACGTAACTCTTTGTAAAGTCTAAGAATAATATCGACACAACAAGTGATACCTCTATTTGGGTTTATGAACTGGGAACGGATTTGGTGCATTTTGATGTCGTGAGTGATGTTGCTGCGCGGCTTTTACCACGTCTTGGGATACGTATTATACAGATTAATCATGACTTCCTACCCGTCCTATCTAAACCGGTTCTATTGTACATGGCGCGGCAGAAGCACCGTCGGCCGCATGGCAGGTTCATAACACTATCAAGACAACACGGACAGATTCTTGTCGTAGACGGTTTTATTGATATTTAGAAGATCTTCCCAACGAGGTCGATAGCGAAGGGAGCTGGGGAACATCGTTAGCACCACTCATCTTAAAACAAGAAAAATCGCCAAACGTACAGAGGTAGAGGAGAACAGCAGTGGTAATGGCACCTTGAACTGTAAAGGCAGCGTCGGCCTCAAGAGCGCGGATCTCCTCTTGAGACTGCTGAGGGGGGGCGACTGTGATGCATTAGTTTGGTAGTCCAGTGATGCAATTGGGTCCCGGCATACATCCTCCAAACATTTTGTATGTAATTTAGTAGAAGAAGAAGTGTTTGGTTGAAAGGCAACGCTCGTTGATAGCAAACTATACTTGGGTATGATGCTATCTCGTTTCGCTGTCATGGGCCAAAGAATTTTGAACAAGCGCCGTTAAGATTCCAAAAAGCACTGGCCAATCAGACGCTGCGATTGATGGATCCGAACTCGCAGCTTTTATCGATAAGCAGGGTACCTATGTCATCACCAGAATGATCAGCTTTCCATCATTCTCAACGTATCATCCATTAAGACAATTATCTTTGACTTGATTAAATAGTAGATATAACTACCTACTCAAGACATCATTTGCTGATCAAAAATTTCATCGCGTTTCATATTGCAGTTCCATTTACTATTGACAAATGCGCTCACTTATAGGTAGGTACACATGTACAGCTTAGCATCGGATTTCTTCTCCAGTCGACATGGGTATCATAATGAACCTGACCAGCCGTATGCTGGGACTCAGAATTTCACAAGGGATAGGCCACCAAGCCGTGGCAACCAATATCCAGGGTATCATCCCTATGATTCTATTCATTGTAATCATAAGATAGCAGAAACGACTTCCGCGTACGCTTTTCTCCTTCTATGTATCATTTCCCAAAACCTTTGATTCTTTTCAAACACTATGCTTCAAAGACTAGAGCAACACCATCGTCACCAGCGGTGACGATCCTCTCTCCTGTCTCGCCTTGAACAAAGCCCAAGACGCCGCCACCTTCCCCATCACCACGGTGGCCCTTCCATTCCTTTTGCAGACCAGCCTCAGCCGCTGTTGCGGGAGCGTTGGGGTTTGTGGCACCAGCACCTCGGAGGTCCCAGCGGCGTACGACACCGTCCATGCCGCAGCTGGTCAGTTGCCATGAGTTGGGGATGAACTCAAGCTTGACAATGGCATGTTCCTCATGGGCGCCGGAGATGTGTCGTCGGACGGCGAAGCGGCGGGTGGCATCGTAAACGACAATAGAGCCGTCCACAGAGCCGGCTGCGAGAAGGGTGGAAGGAGGTGTGTTGGGCGTTGTGACGAGAGCAAGCGACTCGATACTCTCGGATTGGGTGTGCAGCGCGGCGAGAATTTGGCCGCCAGCGGTCGCCGTTGACTGGCCAGTAGTCTTGCCTCCAGCCCGGGCACGAGCCTGGGGCTGAGGTCCGGAAGATGCAAGTCGTGGAAGAGAGACAATCTTGATGGCGCCAGTAGCACCGCCGACAGCAACAAAGGCACCCTTGGGGTCAATGGCAAGCGAGTAGAGACCACCCTCAACCTCGAAACGCTGATCTTCGGCAGTCAAAGCCACCGCAGTCATACCATTGTCGCCAACGAGGTTCTTGGCAGTAGCCTCACCCCACACGTCCCAGACATACAAGCTTCCATCCTCGGAGATGGTAGCCAACAAAAGACCATCAGGCGTCCAAGCACCAGCGGTACAGGCACCAGTGTGTAGGAAATAGGACTGAACAATCTGAAGAGAGTTGGCTTTATCTGTGGGATCGACTGTGTAGACCCAAACCGAACCGTCGGAAGCGCCTAGAGCGATGGCGTTGGGGTTGGTGGAAGATGGGCATGGCGCAATCCAGTTGACCTCAGGCACCTCCTGTGCTTCACCAAGGAAGTCCATCTTGACAGCACCATCATTCGAGATGGTTGCCTTCCATGCGCGCAACCTTCCGTCAAGTCCACCACTGACGAGGGCCTCTCCTTGAGGCAGAGTCCATGCGAGTGTGTTGATCGAGTCTGTGTGGCCATCTAGGCTAAATAGAGGGGGAAGCTGGGTGCTCTTCAGGGCGTCTGCGGCGGGATCGCTCGAGAAACTAGCAGGAAGCGGAGGTCGCGATTGAGCGGAGGCTGTGTTGAAGACCCATCCTGCACCGGGAGCATCATCTTCCTGGCCAGCTGAACCGCCAACCGCGATGATGGAGGGGTACTTGGGATGCTGGGCGATGGTGAAGAGAGAGTCTTTGGGTTCGTCGAAGTAGCCGATGGAGTCGTTTTGGAGCAGAATCTCCTCATTGTCGGAGTCCATGGCCAGATCCTCATCGTCAACGATCTCCTCGGCCGCATCCTCGGCGGCGAGCATATCCTCCTCGAGCTCTTCATCGACAGGCTCTTTTTGATCGCGAGGGTTAGAAGACGACATGATGGCGGGGTAGTTTTATGACGAGGGTACGATGAGTGATGTTCGATGAGAGAGATAGATATTATAAAAAACAAGAAGACTTAAAAGAAGGGAATCAAGAATGTGCACTAGGTAACGCAGTTGATGGGCACTCTCCCTTTCGTTTCCCAGTTGTTACTTGCTTGATAAGCAGGCAAATGTTTTTTCAACTTTTTGGTGGTCGGCGAGACAAGGATTTTTTTCCTGACTGCGGGGTGGTGGCGGTCATAGTAGTCCGCTTAGCTCCAGAACTTAATAGATGGATCTTGGGGTATGAACTCGATGCGCTCTGATGAACGAATGAGTATTAGCAGCTATCTCACTAGGCTGTTACAATCGTTAAAAGAAGAATAAGCAAGTCTTCCTACGTAGCTTAAGCGTATAAGTGCATCGAAAGTACCTATTTAAATGAGGTTGAGGCCAATGCTCACTTACATCCATCCTTCAATGATATACTCATCGATCCCTCTTGTGCAACAAGTGTAAATTTCTATGCTGTAGTTTATGGATGAGGTACAACGTTTACAGTCAGGTGTGGACGGGCTTTTTCTTCCCGATTTTATGATTGGCAGTAGACATTTATAGTTCCCTTCATAAAAAACTGCCAAATTGCTTGGAAAGGTCTATAATGATAGCTTGATGGTGACATAATTAAGCGCCTAACAATCAGCAGCAATGTCCCGTATACGCCAGCAACGCCCGCGTAGCAGCAGCTTTCAACCATCCAGAACCTCAACCCAGTTCTTTTCTGACTGCTTCCGCCTCCATCTATCCTTTGCGGCTTGGCGCATAGCCTTCTCTTCTTCTCCAACCTCATCGGCCTGTGTTGCCATTTCCCGAATCTGATGCTTGAGACCCAATGAAAGCATCTTATACCATCCACCATGAAACTTGCAACGCTTGCGCTCACACATACCGCGAACTTCGTCGCCTTCTCCTAGAGGATCGCTCATTCGGGACGCTTTGAAAATAGCCTCGCCTTCTGGCGACTTTGCAAACGCTTCAAAAGCGTCACGGGCACCAATACTGTCGAGACGTTCATCGTACCCGCAGATGTCTTCCTTGAAGCGACCGGCAGTGATTGCAGCTTGCCGTCGCTCGTGTGCGAACTCCAAGAGGGTGAGCATTTTGTGGCAGAGAACTGTCTCCTCGGCCAAGTGGAAGCGTGCTGCGGCTGCACTTTCGAGATACTCTTTCTCCTCCGCAGAGAGGTGCATCTGATCTGAATTTTCTGTGATATTTATTAGCCGATTTGTGATAGGTAGGATACGACAGCGACATACCTTTGTCAGTTCCGTTTGTAACATTGGAGTCTTGGCCTGCAAATGGTGCCTTGACCAGCCTCCAAAGCCCTTCTTCGTCAGTTCCTGAAAGACCACCTTGAAGGAGCGCCATAAATTCCTCCTGGGTAAGCTGGTCGTTAACTCCCCCCTTTCCCTTTGCCTTGGGAAGCTTGGCTACCATTCGCTCCCACCATGTTTGTGCATGCTCGTTGGAACAGAACACGCTCTTCTCCCCGTGGGCTATTCGAGCCGCCTTCCTACATCCGCCTAAGGCGCATGTTTTCTTATATAAAGTTGTGAGGCTCTCGTTTGTGCAGAGTGGACAGATGAACTTTTCGATCAGATTTTCGCCAACCTCTTTGTTCATATTGATACATTCTCCATGGAACCAATCCTCGCAATTTTCGCAACATATCATCCACCGGTGGTCGTCTGCCCCTCGGCATAGGCAATATGGCCCATGGTCGGATTCCTCGAGTTCGGATCCTGCCGATTCATGGGCATCTCCTGCGGAACCTGACCGCGTGGGTTTGGCTCTTTTCGCCGCCCTTGGACCCCCTGTTTTCTTTGATCGCTTAGGCGTCTTCTTAACTGTCGAAGCGGTGCCCTTCTTCTTTGAAGCTGTGTGAGCGGCCATGTTGTTAAGTTCTGTAGATGTAGAAGGAGGATGTGAAGGTGAGTTGGAGGAGGCGGGGTTGGCATCTGACGGAGGTTGAGGGGTACTCTCAGCAACCGTTTCGCTCTTTGTGTCATTTTCAAAGAGCTCAGAGCGAGAGTCTTCGCTTTGTCCTATTGTTGGGGTGGTTTGTTCCATTGTGGAGTGTTGACAGTGTTGGCAGATGGTGTCTCTTATATACTATTAATGTGTGGTCACTTGACACAATACGATTTATATAATAGACCGAGAAACAGGCAATTCGAGGGAAACACAAACACCGACAGTTTATTAAGCTAATCGAGAAAAACGGAAAATGAAACTTCGGTGTAAGTGACGAGCTGTTGGAGATGGGAGAAATGATGGTGGATAGTCTGAATGACTAAGGCGGAACCAACAAACCCGGTAAAAGCCCGGACCATGTATTTTTTTCTGGAGCTTACCTACCTTAGGTAGTAGTACTAAGGTTGTGACAATCGAAAGATGGAAGTTTACGTAGTGGATTCTTTAGCTTTTGCATGAGTTTATCGACTCTTGCCTAGAGTCATTTCGCCATGTCGAATTCGGTCACGACGTCAAGAGCACTGAGGGGTGTGTTCTCACCCCTCTCGACGAGACAATGCCAGCGATGTTTGTCCAGCAGCGCTCTCCAGCCCAAGCAGCTCCGACCAACCCTCCCCCGAGCGCCAAACCAGTCGAGACAGCCCATTACCCAGCGCCGAACAAAATACAAGACGATCGAGCAGGCCAAGAGCCGATATAGCAATGGGGTATGAAGAACAAAGATCTGGAGGGAAATTCGATGGCGATTGAAGAAGCAATGAGCTGACAAATGCACAACAGCCCTTTTCTTGGAAGGCTGGAATCCTGTTCGTCGGTACCTGCGGGCTGTTAGTATGGTACTTCGAGTTTGAAAAGGCGCGCATGCAGCGTAAGAGAATAGCTGAGGCGGCCAAGGGCGTGGGCCGACCAAAAGTTGGAGGAACCTTTGAGTTGATCGATCAGGATGGAAAGCCATTTACCAGCGAGATGATGAAGGGCAAACACTCCTTGGTATGTCAAGGAAACGAGCTTCGCAGTCTCAGAATGAATGTGTTCATGGCTAACTTTTATTAGGTGTATTTCGGTTTCACCCGATGCCCTGATATCTGTCCCGAAGAACTCGACAAGATGGCTACCATGTTGGATATCGTCGAAGAAAAGGCCCCGGGTGCACTTCTTCCCATCTTTATCACCTGCGATCCGGCCCGTGATACCCCCAAGGCTCTTAAGGATTACCTGGGCGAGTTCCATGAGAAGTTCATTGGTTTGACCGGCACGTATGAACAGATCAAGGCGCTCTGCAAGAAGTACCGCGTCTACTTCAGCACACCTCAGAACGTCAAGCCAGGACAGGACTACTTGGTGGACCACAGTATCTACTTTTACTTGATGGACCCGGATGGTGATTTCGTTGAGGCATTGGGCAGACAACACTCGCCTCAGCAGGCCGCAGCGCTCATTTTGGACCATATGAAGGACTGGGATAAGAAATAGAGCATTCGCTATTTGGCTCTAAGTAAAAGGAACATCCGTGGTCGGGTTGTAAGATGAGCAGATATTGCGGGTGATGTAAAAGTACTGTAACACCAGAATCATGAAGCCATAGAAGGATACTGTGATATTAGGAACCACTCAATCAACTGTACATTTCCATGAACTGCATTAAGAGAAGCGCCTCGCGAGCGATTCTTTTTTGTGTCGTAGTCTGCTGGTATTGAACTTACATATTGGGCACTGGGTTATGGCGATCCTCGGCTCGCATCAATTGTGTGGGTGGATATTACCGACAAGACAAGTCAGGCCTCTTATCAACCATGACTCTAAGAAGTTGGCACATAAATACAGCGTTGCAACTAGTTAATAGTTAACTTTGAGCAGCACACGTCGTCGCTGCACTGCACCTTTTCTTATCCTGTCATCTCACTGAGATCTCTAAGCCTGAAGCTCTGGCGTATATTTTCTCTTATACTTGATCCTTCGCGTTTCGGTAAACATGCAACGCTTCGGTGTGGTCGGCCAATGCCGATTCGCCGCACGTCGATTGACGCAGCTACGGTCTGTCGCACCGACGACGGCGGCTGTCTTGAGAGCCTCCTCTATACCACAGAGGCCATTCACTACCTCTAGCGTTCATCTATCCAAGCCAAAGGGCTCACTAGGTGTCAACCCAAATCAATATGAGGAGCCCACCGATCTGGCACGAAAGCTGTTTTCCGAGTTTGCCTTTGCATTTGAGTAAGTCGGCTTCGTACGGTGTCTTTTGTCCTTTCCTCCAGCTCAGGAAATATACTCGCGAATACAAAAAGTGTACCAGGAGCTGACAAACGCCAGTATTGACGGTGTCTTGTACCAAGGCCGCAACAGAGTGGATGGAGCTGAGAAAGTCATCAAGATGCTCAGAAGCAATGGCATCCGATATGTCTTTTTGACAAACGGCGGTTGCGTCCCTGAAGATAAAAAAGCAGAGACTCTTCAAGAAAGACTCCAGATCGCCAAGAATGACGATGTGGTAAAGGGCAGGATGATTCTGTCCCACACGCCAATGAGTGGTTGGAGTGACCATGTCAAGAACAATGGCACTGTCTTAATTACAGGCTCTCATCCTGAAAAAGCCCGTCAAATTGCTCTTGGGTGAGCATCATTCCTATGGGGAGATATTATCTGGTAAGCTAATTGCTGTAGGTATGGATTCAAGCGTGTTGTCACCCCGGCCGATATCCTCGCCGAGTGCAAGGACGTGTTTCCCTTTGAGCATATTGAGGGCGAGATCAATGGCAAGCCGACGCCATTACCAGATGGCAAGCGAATTCCTTTGCTGAAGGACCCTTATACGACTAATGTCCCTGCAAACGCTCTCAAAATTGATCACATTTTCATCTGGAACGATCCAAGAGACTGGTCAGTTGATATTCAGATCATCCACGATCTTTTAATATCTCATCAAGGCTACCTCGGAACTGTTTCGAACCGGAATGGCAATGAGTCTCTGCCCAACAATGGCTGGCAGCAAGATGGCCAACCCGGACTATGGATCTCCAACCTTGATATGCTATGGAAAACAAACTATCCTGTGAACCGATTTGGCACTGGAGCATTCATGGAGGCACTCAAGGGAGTATGGTCAACGACTACTAACGGAACAGAACTGCAGTTCAGCGCACTTGGCAAACCATCCAACCATACATACAAATACGCTCATGATAGGCTGCTACAGTACTACCATGATATGGCTTGCAATCGTGGTCAAAGCCCTGGGCATGATACATCGAAATGCCACCCTCTTCGACGCGTTTACATGATTGGCGATAACCCAGAAAGTGACATCCGGGGTGCTAGCGAATTTGAAGCGGAGGATGGTACTGAGTGGGTGCCCATTCTTGTACGAACTGGCGTCTGGCGACAGACATCGACGGAGAAGGAGCCTCGATACAAGCCAGCCGTCATCGTGGACGATGTCGTAGATGCTGTGGTTTGGGCGCTTAACAACGAAGGCATCAAGGCCACCAGGGAATGGGTATTATCAGCCCTCTCGCACACGAAAGGCTACGTCAAGCTGCCGCCTCTGGAGATTCGAGATCAAACTAGTGGCCTCGAAGATGGAGTCAAGTACCCAAGTGAGTTGGAGGCAGCTGAGGCAAGACTGTAGAAAGTGTGCAATCAGAAATGGGATTTTGAACACTGGGTGTAGAACTTGAAGCATTCCCATTAGAATTTAGGACAATAAATCTGCAAATCTATCCGGCGGTTGCCTACTTCAAAAGCTCAAGGCTGACTCTCAGGGAAGGGTATCTTTTTCCGTACTTTGTGCCAAAGCTGAAAAGGAGTTGATTATACCTTGCGTGGAACAGGGGTCACATATGCAAGAGGAATCCAAAAAGTCCGTTCCTGTTGCAGATACTGTTGGCGCTAACGAGCTGCATCACAACCAACAACACCAACAACACGGTGTCTGGCCACTCAAATATAGATGCTGATTGAGCTGCTAGAAGGCCAATTGATCTAGACGACATGAGCAGTAAGCGATTGGAAAGACATGTTCAATTTCTTCCATCTCCTCAAAACTTCGGTTTTGCTCATCTACCACGTAGACTCGCCAATCTGGTGATAGTCCATGTCCTTGATCTGGACCAGGGCACGTACATGGGGTGTCACATCGTAGCCTCAGCTGCAGGCGATGCAGCTCGCTCGTGACCCCCCTGATCAAGGATGTCCCAGCCCCCGCGAAAGAAGAAAGACATAAAGAGGATCAAAAGGTATCTCGCGAAGGAGTTCCCTCACCAATCGCTTTCCTCCTCAAGCTTGCCCTTTGTGAACCCTTAACTCGCCAGCTTCATGTCCCGGTCCCTTTTATATAAAAAATCTCTGGCCCTAGTCTTAACTCCTGGAAATGAGTCCAGCAAACAGCCTTACTGAGGCTTACAGCAGCCTGTACAACGCGCTCAGAATCCCACAGACCGGAGACATCGACTGCTTTGCTGGGAGGGAGACCGAAAGCCAGTGCCTCCACACACTTCCAAAACGGCGACGAGCATTGATTAAGCCAATTGTGCAAGCCCTGGCTGTTCATTATTCCAGCGATGAAGACCAGAAGGCCGCCATTGAGGCTTCTCTCAGGGACTTGGCTAAGAAACTTGTCTGCCACAGGCCAGAAAAGATACACACGGAAACGCTAGTGTTCGATGGAGACAGCTTTTCGAATCCCGTGGACTATGCCCATGCCTTGTTGACTAGGAGGTTCTATAACTGGCTCAAGGAGAAGAGCAAAGAGAATCCAAGGCTGGTACGGTCTTCTCAGAAATTATCGACTTCCCTTCGAGAACGTGGAGCAGCGCACACGAGCAAACAAAACTCGGATCAAAGTCAATGTTTTGTCGTTCATGACACAGACGACTACGAGCACTCGGGTAGCTATCTAAGCGATGATGTGATTGAGTCAATTGAACAAGACATCGATTTAAGCCACGAGGAAGCCAGTTCCGAACAAGATTCTGAAGATGAAGAGATGGACGAGTGTAACCGTCAGACATCTACACAGCAGGAACTTCGACGTCCTAGACTTACTAGGGAGAGCCCATTGGGAGACTGGGAGATCCCCAGGACGCCTCCAAGAAACCACGGCTCGAGACATCGCAACATTTATTCCAGGTCACCAGGCCCGCTATCATACCCAACACCCACAGACGATGCATTCCTTGTCTCACCAGGGTCTGTCACCTCGCCAGATCCCAGTGAGATCTTCACACCATATTCGACAGCCTCGACACCATATTCTACCTTTAGCACTGAGGGGTGCGAAACTCCACGATCTTCTTTTCGCCAGAGATCCTACAATGAAAGGCATATGGAAAGCCCAACGCGCAAAAAGATGCAGACAGATGTTGACCTCCTTTCAAGCGATATGATGGTGAAAATGAAACTCAACGTGGTTGACTTGGTTGACCAGAGTGAGGAAGCTGAATCAGATGCGGAGTCATCACGATCTCGTCGCTCCATGACCTTCGATGACACGGAGAAATCGCCAGTTCATGATATCATAAGTCGAGTGGCAAAGCCAGTCAAATGCTTGAGATCTGGGTATATATATTGCTTTGCCGAAGGGTCAAAGCCTGGATTCCTCAAAATTGGAAGCGTACAGTGTCCCGAGTTCAGCGAACCCGATCAAGTGGAAAGGAGGATAGACGAATGGAAGAGTTACTGCAAACATGACCCGGAATACAAATTCAGGGTCTTCATGCCCTGTGCTGTTCAAAAGATGGAGAAATTGATCCATCGAACTTTGCACAGAGAGAAAAAGAATGCCTCTTGTCCGAACAAAGCATGCACAACGAAGCACCGGGAATGGTTCAAGATAGAGGAAGATGAGGCACGCCGAGTTATCAAGATCTGGGAACAGTTCAGCAAGTTGAGTCCCTATGATGGCAAGGGCGATTTAGAAGATCATTGGGTCCGGTACAAACTGACACACCTAGACGATGAATGTCTCTGGAATACCAAAAGGTGGTTAGGCATAGAGTGGGTTAAGTTTATCACAGAGACTGTCGAAAACTTGATGCAAGAGAAGCAGAGAGCTGTGGAGCAATATCTTGCAGAGATGGGACAACATCTGGCTGCGTTAAGAAGGCTCAAGGACGAATTTTGATGAGAAGGACAGTCTGGGCACGTTCGAGTTGTAAGCTTACCAAATTGGACGCTTGTTGATGGAAACGTTTTGAGGTCTGGCCATAGTTATCGTGCTTTGTATTAGCAAGTATTGTTTCATTAGGTAGTTAAAGGATTGGATACCTGCCGAGATGTGAAAGATCAAGAATTGTGATACTTGTGAGTCGTCCAGTCCTACACGGGTATACTGGAGGCTATGTGAGCAAGTATTACACCACGTCCGAGCACAAACGTGTAGCTTGTCAGAATGAGGCTGTCTCGTCCCACCTCGTTGAAGATAGAATGTTGAATCTGGAGCGTGGGGGACACTTTGATGGGTGAGATCCATGGATATT